TACCTAAAAGATCAAATATATATATAGATTTATTTTTATTCTAAAGTTTGTTTTTTGTTATTTTCAAATAGTTTTTTTTTTTGTTTAAGAAAGATATGGGGGTTGATAGAAAAACCTCTGTGATCATTTTGACATGTTACATAATTCTCTGTTAGTATTTCTCAGCAGCTCACAGTCAGATCTGTCATCAGGACAGCCAGAGACTTCAACAATTAGCACAGAACCCAATCAGTCTCACCGCAATTCCTTCTCATTCCCCTCCTGAGACACGAGGCAGTAGTATGGTGCGGGTGGCGGGGCGATTAAGAGAAAACAAGGGATAAATGGGGAGATAAACTGTTTGGTGTCATCACTGCTATCAATCTCAACAAGAAGGAAATGAGGTTTGGTATACAGAAATATTATTACAAAGGAGACAGTGATGGATGAGGTAATGGATGAAGAGACAGGGAGAGGAATGGCTCATAGGGTGGAGGTTTGGAACGGAGAAATAATGCATTTGCTGTCACTGGATTCAGATTCAGAGGTTCATGGAAAAAAAAAATGCAATTAGCAGGATGTTGTTCACAGAAGTGTTATGATTAATATTAACATATTTTTAATTACAAACAAAACTAAAGATTTCAAACTTCTCTGTGAGTGATTGCAGCAATCAAACCACCTTGTGTTGCTATAAACACAAGCCATATCCAACATCCTCATTGGTAACCGGTTCCTGACTTGAATTAAGCTGACTTTATGGTTTTACAGAAGTTTTTATTTAGGTTCTCCTTAACCAAAAAACAAACTGTCTGGACCCTGAGCTGAGAGCATCTCTAATAGTCTGAAAATTAAGCCTTTCAATTAAAATGCAGTAAAAAATAGAACATTTGGATGGAAAGATTACTGCTAGAGGTTACAGTTAGAGTTCTTTGCTTTAAATCACCGCGTTTCTTTATTTCACTTTATAATTTCATCTATTTAAAAATTAATTGTAAATGTCATGTAAAAATATGTTTTAAAAATGACACAATTCATTTGAAAGCAATTCCTTACAGTTTACAATACAGATATTTGTACTGTAAAAATTTACAATAAACTATTTTATTGATTTTTCCCTTAATTCTATAAAACACTGAAAAATTGGGAACTGGATATTTGTTTCTTCTTTTTTGCTGTCATTGATATTATTGTCCTTAAATCTGAAGCTTCAGAGAGACACCTTTAATAGAATAGAATTCAACATAAAATAAGAATCTATTTTAATAATAATAATTTTTTTTAGCATTTCAAGCTGATTATACATTTTATTTTATAACATTTTAAAAAATCACTAGAATGCCAAGCTTTTACATTCACTTGAGCTTTTAAGCAACTTTCCTGAAATATTTAGAAAAGCAGTTCTTCAAAATATTAAAGATGCAAATACCGAATTAGCTTTTTTCCTTCTAGGCAGTTTGGATTAGATGAACTGTGGAAAATTGGCTCATATTTTAATATTGATTTTCTTCCTCATTTGAAATGTTGCTTCAAATTTCATCCCAAATCCGTAATTCTAAATCATTTCTACCCCCTTTTTTATTCTATATGCACGTTATTTATTTAGTCAGTTCTACATAAAATAACCAGAAGTAAAAAGACAATAAAGGAAGCAGTATGTGAAGGCATTCTTAATAGGGGACAGTAATCTGTGAAGATTTAGAGGTCTTTTTGTCTGTATGCACAGCAGGGGCAGAGATAGAAGGGGGCCATGGGTGGCCGTGTTCCCCTAGTAAAATACCTCCCTATCTCCAGAACAAGTAGTTCCCCTCTTAAACACAGGGTCGCAGCAATGATACTTTCAGGTGGAATGTACAACTGCTTTGATCTTTTTAGTTGATATAATATTAACCATATACTAACAAAAAGTTACAACAATTAATTGATTATTCAAATCAATATACTAATGTTAAATAACGTAAAAACTGAACTCGTGCTCTTTTTAGAGCTAGCTTTGGTGCTTTCTGTAGTCTGCATTGATCTAGGAGTCTCTTTTAAAGTTAAGCCCCATTTACACTACCCTTGAAAAACCGATCCAGGCCGAGACCGGTCCGAGCTTGGATCGGTAACCAGGCCAAGCTCAGTTTTGACGACCGTTCACACGTCACACTTATCTCGGTTATCTCGACGCCTCGACTCCTCGCCTCCTAGTGACGATGTGCGGTATTACTGCTAGGATTGAAGGAGGGACTCAAGCAGCTGGTGGCGGTAATGCACCAAACGCTGTTTGTCAACCGCCGTAAAACCCAAGAAGAAGAAGACGAAGGAGGAGGGAATCAAGCAAATCAAAATGGCGGCGCACGTCACATTCAGAAAGTTATGCTTGATTATTATTGCTGTACTTCCGTGTTTGCGGTGGGTCAGGCGAAGACGGCAACCTTGCGCGGATGTACTTGAGAAAGTCGGCTTTTGGGAAGCCGACTTTCTGGAATGGAGTGTGAATCGGCATGTTCAGCCAGTCGGCGATGACGCGTTCTGCTCATGCGCTCTTGTTATCAGAGAACCGAGCCAGGAAAAAACCGAGCCGAACCCACCTCGGGAACTGGTCTGCAGTTAGCGCGGTCCGGTTATGTTTATCTCGGTTCAGTTCAGGTTGTTTCCGTTCACACACGACAAGTTATCTCAGTTACTGAGCTCGGACCGGTCTCGGCTCAGTTTTTTAAGGGTAGTGTAAACGGGGTATAAGAGATATAGAACCACACCTGTTCAGGGTGTACCCCACCTCTCGCCCGTAGACATGGATGGAGTTAGGCACCAGCACCCCTTGTGACCCCGCTTGGGATAAGCGTGACAGAAAACGGATGGATGATGGATGGATATAGAACCATTGCTAAATCCATTTAGATATAATAAAGAACCATAACTGACTTAGACCACATTAATGTGTAAATATTTGTATAGATTTATTGACAATGGCTTTAAGAAAATCTAGTCTTTCGTTGTTGATTTATCTGGAAAATATGGATGTTTTGTTTTTTCAATTTCCTATTGGTACTATTTGATTATTGTAGACTGACCCTAAACTGATTTTGGCTCCTGACAGTTTTCAACCGCCCCTCAGTGCACACTGGCCCCTGCCTCGCCACCCGCTATGAAATTTTTCTGGCTTCACTCCTGGTGCACAGTCATGCAATCGAGACAACATATAATAGAAAATAGAAGCAGCAGATGTTCAAAGGTTTGCAAGAAGCTGACCTAATATGAATAAGCGTCACTCTAAGATACTTTGATTATTTCTCCTAATGTTAGTCCGAGAATGCAAATATTACTTGTAAGTTGGCAACCACATCAGCTAGAGGATCACGTCTCAGGTAAAAAACTGAAAGAAAAATAAACTTTTGCTAATGTGTAAATTCCTAAGAAATTCTTATGCACATTCCAAATTCCTGCACATGCTTAGCTGTTAAAATGAGCACACCTGCTTTAGATGGGGGAGTGTGTAGTGTATGGTGCCGATGGACAGTCTGCAGGGAAAACAAGGAGGCATTGTTGTTGATCTCTTGAAGGTCGCAGATATTACTGCGTGCCAAGCCTGGCACAAACTCACACAGTCATGCATATGCATAGACAACTGGAACAATATCAAAACAATTAAGTGCATATTAATGATATGGATCATTACAAAAGGAAATCTAATCATCCTTTTCATTACATCTTTCATAATTATGACATTTTTTCCTACTATTTTCCCTCTCATTCTTCCAGATGAACGTCACACAATGGGGCTTTGATTTTCTTCTTTCTCACCCTCCCTCCTCCAGATGCCAGGTACAGTGGGAGAGTCTATACTGCTGGATACTGTCTGACACATTTCAAAACAATGATAACAAGCTACAGGCTTTCCTTTGAGCAGTCCATTCCAGACTCTGGCACATATACTGACTAGCCTGGACCAAAAAACAGAAAGAAACCCCATTATGACCACAAATTTGTAGCATATGGTAAATCGTCACACAATAAGCACGTACTGTCCCTTTGACCAGCTGCTGTTTCTTTTTCTTTAATATTATATACTATGGTATTAAAAACAATAATAGTAACTGTGCTTCATTCAAAGAGGTAGTTATATGTTGTCAATGCAAATAAGATTGTGAATAACAATGAGATGAACATTGTATGAATTTAATAGAAGGTAGATTTGTATAGGCACATTCTAAGACACAAAGAGGTAGCTATTTTACTTAAAGAGATGATAGCAAATTTTTTTATTTAAGATCTCCAAAGACAAATATGTTGTTTTTTATTTTATCTTCCATAGCACCTAATCTTTAACCTCAGACTGGAAAAGTTTGATCATGTTCCAAAACTTTCAGTCTCGTATATAGCCTGCACACACAAGTATCACTTTTGATTTTAATGAATTGCAAAATTCTTTAATAGCCTAATTGATTGAGGGCCTAGAGTGACTTACTTATGGGATTTTACTTTTTTTTTTAAAACCTTGTGTGAGTGTTTAGGTTTTTACTGTTCATAAAATTATGTTATAAATAATATGTTTTACTGAGGATAAAAATTCAGACTTTCTTTTTTTTTATTGATTGAGACAACAACCTAACCACTTTGGTTAGTGTAACATTTTATATTGGTCTTTCCTTCTCCTATACAGCCTGTTCAGCTGCGTAGACGTTAGAACTTTGCACTGACTGATTCTGCAGCCTTTATTAAACCCTCCCTACGACCTAACCTCAAATCTCACCATGATGTTAATCAGAAGCAGCGCTTTATGAATGATGGTATGTCTCATCTGCACCAGATTTAAACAGAAACAACATAGATTAGACAAAAATAAGTCTATGATTAGAAGTTATATATATATATATATATATATATATATATATATATATATATATATATATATATATATATATATATATATATATATATATATATATATAAATGATTGAAAAAGTATTATTTTATGAAATGCCTTGGCTTTTGTATTGATTCGTTTTTCTCTTAATATGTTAGTAAATATTTCTTACTTTTCATAGTCATGCTTGCAGTACAGCAGACGGTCCCTGCAGTAACAGGTCCCGGTAAGTGCGCTCAGACAGACGGCGCACTTCACGCAGGTCTCGTGCCAGGAGCGCTCGTTCACGCGCAGGAGGAAGCGGTCTGCGATGGGAGACTCGCAGCCCGCGCACAGTTCTCCACCGCCTCTGAAATCTGGACCTGGTTAAAGCATATCACAGCCACAGTTACAGAGAGAAGGCCAAAACAAGTTCTATTATATAAATAAATTAATTAAAAAATGCTTAAGCCTATCATCTGGCGCAAGCCAACTGTTGTTTCTTCAGACAAGAAAAAAAGGAAAACCCCTTTTGATATTTCAAAGGCAAATAGGTTACAGTTTTTAAATATATATCTTATTTAAAACGTTCAGTTGAGTAGGCTAACCCAGACCTAAAGGTAACATAACAGACCTTTGTAACGGGTACTGACGGTACTTATTTCACCTCATACAATTTTTATTAAATATTTGTATTTTTTTTCCTGTGGAAATTAGTAGACTTTTTATGTAAAATTCAACAGGTCAATTTAGATTAAATAATTTTTTACGTTTATTTATTATTTGTTTACCTCACCTGCAGGTGGGGATTTATCTATTCTATTTTACATGATTAGAATTTTTCTTCCATAGAACTTTTGAAATATTTCAATTTAGATAATCGTGCGTTGAAAAAGATGCTAGTGTTGATAAAATCCCTTTTTCCAAAAAAAAAAAAAAAAAAAAAAAAGAATAAAATAGCTGACCATAAGGCGTGGAGGACGGAGGCTGTTGCAGGCAGGACTGTTGGTTTTCCTCAGTTTTCATTCCTTCTCTCCTTCCCTCAGTGTGATCGCTAGAGAGAAAATAAACCATGTAATTACGCATTCAGATGCTTAAAGTAAAGCAGGAGAACATGTGAGCCAAAGCTGGAAAAAAATTAGATTAATTCCATATATTTTCTATTGTCTGTTGATGTATAGATAATAAACATTAGATGGAATCAGCAAACACATGTTGGTCTTTGTTATCGCCTTTAAATGTAGAAGCAAAGTTAATGATAAAAAAGTGAAACAAAAGCAGCAACTAAAACAAAATATTGTAATCATTTGTTAGAAAAAATGTGAGTCAAACCAAAACATCAGGTGATAACTTTGTTTCAAATTACACTAAGGTAAGTATCCACCTTAGACTCCTATTTTAAGCTGGATACTCCTGAATTGTCTAAGCAACTTTTAAAATTGGCCACACTTTAGATTTAATATTAATAACAATAAAAAAAAGTATTTAAAAAAGTGTTACAAATTAAACGATTTCCTTTCCCGTCTTTATATTGTCTAAGGATGTAAACGAAAATCGCAGGCCTGTGCGCATTTCTATCAAACATTTTAAATTATGTTAAAACATCATAGAGTTTATAAATGACTACAAATGCGGTATATTTTAAAAATTATATTCTACTACACTGATATTTTTTGAAAAACACAAATTAAACAAAAGCTTCCCGAGAAATGTAAAAACTAAATAAATAACATGGATATTTCTCTGTTTAATTTGGATTTTAAACCATAGTCAGAATAAAAATAAATAGATAAAAATGGTGTGAAATTCATCGCATGGTAAAATGAATAAACATAGATTAAGTTCTCTGTGTAATTTCCAACAATTTGAGATGTTACAATTCTTAGAGATAAGCGATTATTACACTAATGCGTTTTTTCTTTAACCAGAACCGGAGACAGAATGAAAAAAGATAGAGTGCGATTTAGATTATTGTCAAACAAAGTAATCAAAACCAAAAAATACATTATGTAAATGCAGTTAATCTGATTTGGGATTTTTTCTGTGACGCTTCAGCTAATTGATGCAATGATTTCCATGAAGTAGTTAGTCTGAAATGTTAATCATTAAGAATCCAGAATTTTAAACACAGTTCAAATTAATAATTATAATAAAAAAATAATAATACATACATATCAATATTGTATAAATATAAATAATAACTTAAAAACTGGAATTGATTTTTATTGCTATCAAGAAAAACAAACAAACAAAGAAACAGACAACAACAACCAAACAACTTCTGTTATCTGGCTGCATAAAATAATTATTGTCAAAATTAAAGATTTGCAATACATTAATGATATAAAAATTTCTTCTCCTCATCCCATCCCAGTCTAAATATCATGGAATAATTTACAAAAAAAAAAAAAAGAAGAAGAAGATCATAGTCATTAATCCATGTACATTGTTAGAGAAAAACATCCCACAGAGTGTTTACTTTTGAATAAGAAGCAGTCAAATATAACTTTTGCACATGACCGCGTTGCTCTGACAACCTGTTCATGAGTTTCAGAGTCTTACCTTGAGGTGAAACACACTCCTCCTGAGATCTCGGTCGGCAACATTTAAATCCAGCGAAACTTCCAGCTCTTATGTGACTGAACACAAGCGATCCTATGGGTCAACCACATGAGCTACCGCACAGTTTGCCTATGGAAGAAATTCCAACAGCATGATGCCTCAAAATATGGTCTATTGTGTCTCCTGGTTTCTCCGACAGCCGTGTGCGCGCTCTGGGTTGTTTTGTGCGTAAAAAGGAGGCAGAGGGAGGAGATGGACAGAAACGGAGGGAGGGAGAAGGTGCGGAAGATGATGAGAGGAAAGGAGCAGCAATACTCATCTATTGATAACTCAGGTGAGGAGAATCTCTTGAATCTTTGTTTAGGGTTAGATAGATCACTTACTAAAGCAACATTTTACTGACTTATTTATATCCATTACAGGCCAAATAACTCTTGCGTTGCTTTTATTCTACATAATACTCTTGATTTTGGGGTGAATGTCTGATGCAGGAGAGAAACATAAGAATTTGCACCCGGTAATAGAAAAACATACACAAATAAATCTGATTTTCTTATTTATCTAAACGATCATATGTAACAGAATAAATATGTATGTTTTCAGTGTGTGAAAGGTATAATGATTGAAAAAAAAAAAACAAACAAAAAAAAAACAAACAAAGAATGCAAATAACAAAAGGATTTATTGCCCTTGTATTGTTGATTTCTGACATGATTTTACCACACACCAAACTGCTGCCCCCTTGCGTCTAAAACAGAAAGGTGCATCGATAGTAAACCAAAACAGCGATATTATCAATAATGGAAATAACACAAATAAGGGCTATATTTATGTTCGTAGACAAAAGCAATTTGGAGGTTAAATTTTTGAATATAAAACAAAGAAATAAATCAATAAAAAACATTTACAGTCTTTCATGAGGAAACGTGATGCTTTTGTGCTGGTATGCATTTTTGAAATTGCAAGCATCTGCAGTTACATTCAAATACTGAGTTATTAAAACGGAAGAAAAAAACACTAACTTGTACTATGTGATTGTTTAATTACACTAACAAAAGCTTGACAGTTAAAGTAAAAAAAAAAAAAAAACATGATTTAGAGGTATTAATAAGGGTATGACATCCAAATAAGTATGAAACCTTATTTATTTCCTGTGCTTTGAAGAGGAGTTTGAAACAGAAAAACTTTTCTAATAGTTTTAGATTTTCGCAATTAAAGAAAAAGTATTCAAAGTTAAGAAAGCACAGTATGGGATGTTTTTTTTTTCTTTATAAAAACTACATGAATGTAGTTACTTTTCATTGTTTTAGTCACTGTTTTTACACACAGTGTAAAATAAGTGCAGTCTTTCAGTGTATGCAAAAAAATGATGGTGTTTAAAATTGTAAACTTTCCTCAAACAAAGAGCTGCTCCTCCTTTTCTGAGTGACTGCGTCTCAACTTCAAACTAGACAGGATCTTCTGGGCTGGGGAGGTCAGGTTGCGTTCAGCAGAGGGGGTTTTCGGGCATGCATAGTGAGTGCAGTTCATTCCAACACAGTGTCTGTTGTTGTTCAAATTTACATTGTGATTAGCTTGACTCCATCTTGTCACCTCTTGAGGTGACCTCTCAGTTGAAGTGGATGAAACTAAAGTTGCCGATGATAAAACAGTGGAGTCCATTCCCAGCATGTACTGCGCAACCTCTCGAGGGCTCAGTGGAACCTTCACATCACCCTCTGCTGTAGTGGTAACCTGGTAGGGTTGCTGAATTATCTCAAATTGGCCTTCTAGGCTTTGTAAAAATCTCTGTGATCCGGGCTCTGGAGATGAGCTTCGGCTGTTGCACGCACTTCGATGACTGCCCCTCTTTGGATTAGCTGGCTGTCTTGTTACACAGTCGGAGTTAGAGAATCGAGCTCCTACATTGTGATACCGATGATACTTCACAGGCTGTCTTGTAAAACGATGATGTGGTTGTGTGCCTGAATCCAAGGATGTTTTTCCTGCAGCTTCACCTTGAGGATCACTTGATGTTGTTCTCATAGCCAGGACTAGGGTGAAAAAGAACATAACTGTGATTTACAAAGTATGCTGATGTGGAGACAAGTTACAAATTATGCTGCCTTCATGTGCTCGGATAAAGATGTAAAGTGGAAATTACCAGTGCATTGTGTTTAAGTGCTTTTGTTGTGGTAGAGAAAGGAAACATGTTGGATACAAAGAGTATCCTGACCTGCTACTTGGGCAAGACAGTTATAGAGTAATACACTAATAATCTGCTTTAGGAAGAAGAGGATGCATTAAATGCATCGACTTACTTCTAGTGATTAACTGATAAAATCAAACAATAACCATCATTTAAAACAACGACCCAAGTTTAAATTATGATATATTTAACAAAACAAATATATCACAGCATCGTGTAGGATAAAAACACAACAGAGAATGAATGCTTAACGATGCGGTATTCACCATACAGAATAATTTATCTGATTTCCGAACTGTTGAAAGGTCAAAGTTTATCTCATCACAGCGACTCTGGTATCACAGAATCTTCCCAGCTTTCAAGTGGAAATAACGACATGAGTGGGTGTACATGTGCATTTTGGTATTTACCATAATTACAAGACCACATGAAGGCACCATTAGTTATCCATTGTAAGTGGAAATTTAGCAAACCTTACCTGAGTATACTTTTCTAAACTATACAGTAGAAATAATGATTTTTAATTCATTTATTTATCAATTTGAAACTGAAATGAAATATTTAAACACATGCATTCTGCTGATTTGAGATCCACTGTATATTCAGCCGTACGCACATGATCAGTTGTGATTAAAAATGTTTATTAGAACTGCTTGTGAATAAAAACGCACAAAGAAACAAAGAAAAAGAAAAGCAAGCAAAGAATAGCTTGAGATAGCAGTGCAGCGAAACAGACAAGTTTGTTTATTTCGTTTTTTATTGTTTTTACTATTAAAATAAAAAATTAAAATGCTTCATAGATCATCATTTGGTTAAATCCACTATCTATTAAAATGGTAAAATGAAATAAATCTTAAGAAATGCCTATGCTTATCTGGTTAGCAAAACCACTTACCACCAAGGGGAAGTCTGGGCTCTTAAAATAACAAGAGGAAATTAGCTAAAAAACTAGAGGAAATGAACTAAAAAAAAGTTGTGACTACAGAACTTGTGGGAGTATATGCCCCCAGCTTCAAGAGGGAAGAAAAATAGTCTGTAGCTCAGCTTTAACATCTGTGGATGTATTAATTAAATTATGCCTTTATTAAATTATAAATTTATTAATCAAAGCATTTAATCTATTCAGCTACACTGGCAACTGGAAATGCCAAAATTAATTTACTATATATGATCTTGACTGGGTGTATCCATGAGGAGCATTTTCCTTCCCCACATATCTGCCTACCTGCGCTCTCATTGGCTTCAGGGCCCAGCTGGTCCACTGCCTCATTGGATGAAGACTTGTCAGATATATAAGCTTCGCTTGAGTCTCTCTTGATAACTTGGCTCTGTTGGAATGATACAAGTTGAATTGGGTTTCTGGGAAGTTTTCCTGATCACTTCTAATCCGGATGTACTACAGTATAATTGTCTCTAAAGGAGCCAATCACTACATTATGTATAGTAATTTTGAGCTATTACTCTAAATTTTATTATTCTTGCAATTCTATTTGACTTTGAATTATTTCAACGAGCTATTTGAAAAAATGAACATAGGTTTTACATTTAAAAGTTAAGTTAGCAATATAAAGAAAATAAAATCTGAAAGGACTTCATGCAGGGCAGAGTAGAAAGCAGAAATTCAGCAGATGTGCTGCTTTCCTGTCAAATCTTAAGCAAATAAGCCAAAGGTTAATGTGCTGCAGCTGATCAAAACCTGCAGATGCCAGGCAAATGTGACTTTTCCTTTTAAAACCACGGTACCTACTTCTAAAGACTGTGGACGCTCTCTGGAGGAAGTCTCTTCTTCCAAGTCTGCATCATCTCCATCCAGGGGACAGGAAGCTCTGGGAGGTGTTTCTGGGAGAGGTGCTGTGGGTGCTGGGGGAGGGGGCGTGTTTATGCTCTGCTCAACTCCAAAAATCCTATCATGATGTGTGATGAGGAACTCTACCAGCAAAGACTGGTAGCTTGTCTCCAAAAGAGCAAGCATTGACATGTCCGTAGACACTAGAGGGCGCAATAATGTCGGTCCAAACACAATACCCAGATTGCTGGGGGACATCTTGTTATCATAGTTCTCTGATACTCTGCGGAGTCAAAGACATTGATACGTATAAGTACTTACATGAAAAAATGGACTAGAGTTAGGATTAAGTGGTAATAAAGATATTTAGTGTATGCTGTATGTTTACTTTTGCAGATGGGAAATAAGATGCTGCAGAGTCTTGTAACAATGTGAAGGAAGCTTTTTCAGAAGCTTTTGTATTTTGTGAATATTCTCCAATATATCATTGGAATCTGGTGAAGTTTCTCTTTCACTCAGATGCTGAATGGCCTTTCCCACCCCAATGAATTCATTGTAGAGGTCAAAGGTTAGTAAAGGCTCTGGAAGCTAGAAGGCACAGTAGTGAAATCATTACTTTCTAAAAGGAGAACAAACTGCTGCTGACAATGAATGCTCTATTAGACAATTCAAATGTTTTAAAACTAATTATAATAAGAAAAAAAATTGCATTGAACACATAGAAGTACCTCCTTGAAGAAGTGTTTAAGGATAGATGTTATGTCATGTGGCGAGAGATCAGAGAGGTCCACCTGGTCCTTTTGAGTTTCAAAGGTCTGACAGAGCTTCTGAATGCGAGGTTTGGACCCACTGACACGATACACACCCTTAGAATCAACAATATGGATCAATTATTAAACAAAACGTCACAACTTCAGAAGCTGCATCTTCTGGGTTTATCTTTGTGAAGATGGTAGGTTAATACCTGAACAGAGAGAGCACGACTCTCAATCTCAGATGTGCAGCATCGGACAACAAACGGCACCTCATCTGGCCTGTCTTGTAAAATCACTGAGAGGTCCACTCCAAATACAGTGCCCTTCCTTTGCTCACATTCCAGCTGGCAAACCTCCATGCATTTTCTGTGAAAAGCTAGCCCACACTTTACATACAAAAAAAGAAAAAAAACTATATTATATCCATTCTTAAGTGTCTTAATGCTCTTTATGTTTTTGTTCATAATAGTATACATGGTTCCAGTTTATCTTTCAGACATGGCTTCATACCTCCTCACATTCAACCCCACTGA